TTATAAATATTTAATATTATTTCCGTATATATGATAAAATTACATATTAATTATTTTTAATTTATTAATTTTAAAATTTTTAAAATTAAATTATTATATTTTTTATATTTAAAGATTAATTATATATATTTTATTTTCATTTTAATATAAAATTAACAAATTATATTAATTTAAGAATTAAAATTTTTAAACCTCTAAATTTAAAAATTAAAAACTTTATTTGGAGATAACTAATAAATTGTCATTATCATGATATGAATTGTTACTGTCATGATATAGACATTTGCCTTGCAGAGTTTTGTGATTCTAGAGAAAACTATCGTTTTGTTTTTCTGGAAAATGGAGAAAACTATGGTTTGGTACCGTGGTTAGTTGGTTGGGCTTAGTTTCTGTGATTATTTATACATTCTCATAATATAAATGGTCACTTCAGATTCAGTAGTTGATTTTTAAATTTTAAATATTTAGATTTAGTTGATTAAAAATTTAACTCACACTAATAATTTGAAAAAATATTCTTCATCTCCCAAATTTCTTAATGTTTTTAAAAAAATGGTCACTTTTATGATATTGACGGTTAATAGTAAATGTTTATATAATGAAAGTCACGATTCATATTATGATAATGTGTAGACAACCATAAATACTAAACTTTAACTATGGTACTAAACCATAGTTAGGGTTTGGTTTCTTTGGTTGTCCCATATCTATCATATCATAAATCAATCTTTCTTATTAATGGTGCTTCCAAGGTAGCCTTAGTGGGCCTAGCTAGCCCAAAACGACAATCATTGAAGACGTTTTATATTTACTTCCACTTTTGTACTTTTGTTGTTACTTCATCGGAAACCGCAAGAAACTATCCTTAATCAATATCAATCGTCGATTGCTCCACATGTGCTTCTACTGTTTGAAACTACAAGAAACTACTCCTATAACTTCTAGTAGTGTATATGGGTGGTAATTTAGAGTTTGGATGCAAGGAAAGGAGGAAGCTCAAACCAATTCTACAATAAAGAATCCATCATACAATTTTCAAATCCTTTGCATTTTACAATCCAGAAGCTAATCAAATTGATTTCGAGGTTGGGTTTTTGAATATGATATATGGGTTTAGAATTTTGATGGCTAATCTCTGTTCTTCATGGTGACCCGTTCCCCTTCCTTCATCTGCTCTCTTCATCACCACAAACCACTCGCTCACCATCAACCCTAAACTTCAAATCATGGAGAAAGAGAGCCAAAGTTCAAGAAGCACGAGGAAGAGAGCCAAAGTTCAAGAAGCACGAGGAAGAGAACCAAGGGCATTAGAGAGGAGATTGAAAGACAAAAAACAACAAGCCATTAAAGAGCAACCAGTGATTAGAACCAAAGTCAATGGGTGTGAGATTAGAGTAAAGATCAGAAGGATGAGAAAACTACTTTCTCCCCACCGTTTCTAAAGGATGAGATTGGTTTTTATCCCTTGAACTGCAAGATTAGATTACAACATATGCCTGAACAGGTATGCACATATTAGTCCTTTCAATTCCTTTTTATTTCCCCTTTCATTGAAAATACTAATTAAAGTTTCATTCATGGCTTTTGTCTAACCAAAATTGAAATCCTTAGCTAACTAAGATGCTTACAAGAAGAGTCCCATGTACATATCCTAAAAAAGCCTATAGCAAGTGTAGTAAATTAAGCAACTTTAACATGTTTCCCTCATGTTTTAGATATATTTGATGGTGGATGATGATTTTTATTTGGTTTGTCTTGGTTGTTATGGTTATTTGGATTTTGGAAGCTTTAGTAAAAAACACTTATAATTTGGACTGTAAGAAAAACTTTAAGTAAAAGGAAGAACCAAAATTATGTATCTAAAATGGATTACAGAATTACTGTTGTAGTATTATATGTATCTTAAATTGATAGTTCTTTTTTTTTTTTCTTATTACATATACACTTTTTTTGATAGGAATGCTACTGTGATTCATAGAATTTATAACCTGTACGTTTATTTTTTTATTTCATTCAAAAATTAATTTTGTAGATACATGAATCTGAAAGGATTACTTTCATTATTGCATGGTTTATAATACAAAGGTGGAAATACAAAGTTTAACTTAGAGGATTGTCCAAATGATGAAGAATGAAAATTTGTTTCCCTCAGAAGGTGGCCCCATCATCCTCTCTCAGGTAACTAATTCTTGGTATTTGGAATTTTTAGAGTTGTAATGGGATCTATTTGGCTAAACTTTTAGTCATAACTTTGATTTTCTAAAGTGGAAGATCTCAAAGGATGAATTAGAGACTAATAACCGTAGATGCTTTGCTCACTTCTATAGTTTGAGAATGAGTATGGGCTAAAGAGTAAATCACGTTTTGGTCATGTATACTTTACTTGGGCAACAAAAATGGCTGTGGAACTAGATATTGGAGTCTCGTGGGTGATGTGCTAGAAAGATGATGTCATAGGCCCTGTGGTGAGATATCTTTCTTATTCATTCTTCTTGATACAGTTGTCTTCGTTTATCATTTACTTTAAACTAAATTATCTTTTGTGTTCGTTGAATTTTGATATTGTCTTAAGCAAAAATGAAGTGCTTAAGTTAAAGGATTAATCAACAATATACTATGAGTGTAAGAGATGATGCTTTTGAGTTTCTCATTTAAAATAGGTGTAAGAAGTCTACCTAAGCTTTTAAAAGATAAGGAGACACCCACAGCTTAGCATGTCAGTTTTTTTTGGATTATGTTCACTGGCTTTCTTGATTTGAACATTTCATGAAGCAGTAACTTAGCCTTTACTCTATCCACTTACCTCCAGGATGTCTATAATAAAATATGTCGTGTTTTAGAAGCACCACATAAATGGGAATGCCCTACATATGTTGCACAAAAAAATGTAATTGACTAAATATATCTAGAATTCCAACACAAATTTTTAGTTGGATTTAATTCCAACAATGCACATGTGAAACATTGTATATAAGTTTAATAAATAAATTGTTATAACATTAGGCATAATTATATAGGGTGCGTGTGTGGACATTGTTAATTCACCGTTAAAATGACTAATAGGAAAAAAAAAGATAAATATTACATGCTAATAGTGATTGACAGGACACAGTGGTTGACAAGAAGATAAGGGGAGAGATGTAGAGAATGGGAGAGGAAAGACATTTTACTTAAAAGGTAATTATGAAATTGTGTTATTAACCCTTAGTTTTTGTATAAAGTATAACATCAAAATTTTCTATTACCAATAAGAAGGTTCAAGAGGGGTGTATCACCCAAAGTAGTTAGGATTTTTAAGATGAGCTAAATAGATCCAAATGAAGACAAGAGGTAACAATTTCACTATTAATGTATTATTACTACTTCTACCAAAATGTCACCGTTATATCAGGTGATCTCTAGCTCTATAAAATTACATAGATCTCTGGCTGAAAAAGACTCATAAATTCTCCTGTTTCTGTCTATATATTAATCTCTCTAAGTCATTTTACGAGGATATCCTTTGAAGTTCAATCTTACATAACTATATTAATGCACTAAATAAAAGAAAACTAGAAAAGGAAATTCAAAAATCTAGAAAATAGCTTGATGAGAGGGAAGTTTTTATATTTTTATCTTTAATTCTTTTCACTAGTACAATTTTCATCTTGGTTTCAAAAGTATTAAATGCTCATGAAAAATGTAAATAATGGAAGAAAGTACAATTTCATTTAGAAAATAGTTATTTTCTATACGTTGGAAAGGCTTGATATAACGAAGTCACTCTTTTATATCATCAAGCATGCTCCAAGTATGTTTGCCCCTATTTTATCATTTAATTAATATTAAATGTCAAGTTTATGAATTTTTTTCTTAATTTTGTAAAACCAATTCTATTTACAAGTTCTACAGCAATTTTAAGTTTAATCAAAGGTACATTTTTTATGTTTTTATTTACATTCTGAATTAAAAAGAATGTTATTTCTATTGTTAATTAATACACATATAATTCATATAAGAATAGGAAAATAGTAAAAAAAATAAAAATAAAAATAAAAAAGGGTGGGGTTGGGAAGATGATTTCTCACTTATACTCATGGGGATTGATGCATAAGGCAAATACATTAGATTTAATTAGAATTATTTCAAAATTGATTCTATTTATTTAGCATAAAGTC